TTTGGTAATTTTCCGGTTGGAGGGGGCAAACCAGGAAATTTTCGGTTTTGGGGATCCACTTTTCCGTCCCCCCCCAATATTTTGGAGAAAAATTAAATTTTAAAAAAAAAGGGCAAATGTGGGGGCCGGGTAAAAAAAAAAAAAAAAAGGTTTTTCCAAAAAAAAATTTTAACCCCCACCCGCGGGGTGAATCCGGATTTTTGCCAAAAAAAAATAATTTTTAAAAAAAATTTTTTTTTTAAAAAAAAAATTTCAAAAATTTTTGGAAATGGGGGTTAATGGGAAATTTTTTTTAAAACCGGGGGCCAATGGCCATTTTTAGGGATTTGGGGGTTTAAGGATTTATTGGGGGGAATTTTTTTTTGGGGGGGTTTTTTGGAAAAAAGGGGGGAAGATTTTTTTTTTTCCAAGATTTTTTTTTTCCCAATTTAGGGGCTTTCCCCTTTTCCCTTTTCCCCTTAAAAAAAAGGGGAAATTTGGGGGGCCCCCCCCCCCCCCCCCCCCCAATTCTAGGAGATATAGACAGGGAAAACCCCCTCCAAAACATAATTAGAGTAAACCCCTTTTGTTGTTAGCTTGGATAATTAATAAAGTTAAACTACCAATCATACACTTACTCCTAATCCTAAATTTTGGCATCTTCTCTTTTATCGTTATTTCTTTCTTTTCCTTATCTCGATTTGCATTCACTCTGCTATCTTCTCTCCTCCGTCGTTCTATCTTTTTCTTTTCTCCCTCGATCTGCTTCTTTTCTTACTCTTATCTTCTTCTCTCTCTCTTTACAAGATTAGATCGAAGGTTGAGATGTATAATGAGTTGAAACCTAGGGTTACCCACAGTTTCTCGATTTTGCGAAGATTTCTCCTTCGTCGCGGCAGGATATGGATTTTAAATTTGATTTTGCTGCCTCTTTTTGGATATGGCGATGAGCATGAAGAAAATTGGGTTCAGGTAGCTTTATTTTGGTGGTTTTGATGGTGGTGGTTTTGATTTAAATACTCCACGTGGCAGAATATGAGTGGAGTCCGGTAATTGCAAATAATCGACCCATCCAACCAGAATTTAAAGTCATTCCAATTTAATCCATGTTAGAATCGCATGGTCGGCAGAATTAGATGTCAAGTCAATTTAGGTTAATTAGCCTTCTCAATACTAAACACACAAATTACTTCCGGCAGCATGCAGCAACTCCCGGTAGAAATTTTGGAGGAACTTCTCCATGGCTCTCAGTTAAGGATCTTCTAAGATTCAAATTAGTATGCAAAAGCTGGAAATCAATAATCTCCAGCCAGCACTTCATTAACTTGCATCTCAAGAAATCGATTTCGAGCTCTTCCCGCCACAGGATTTTCATACCGTATCGTGAAACATTCACTACCATCGATTATTACGGCAAGGATCAGCATTCCGACCGAAAAAGACCGTCGGTTTACATGCCGAGGCCTCAAGAAACTGTCGGAAAATTCCTCGGTGGTGGAAATTGCGATGGTCTGCTCTGTTATTTAGATATGGTTACTTTGAGAATCTGTGTGTGGAATCCAGCTCTCAGGTTATCGAGAACCCTGGATTTGAAAATACCTGGAATTGTTCGTACACTTTTGTTCTTCTGGTATTCGAGATCGTACTGAATCTAGAAAGCACACGTATCTCATTAAGCCTTTCTCCGACAATTGCGTCACAAAGTCGACACAATCAGAAATCGATGATTTATACTTCAGGTCCTTTCACGAGGGTACCCTTCTGCGTGGAACGGTACATTGGCTTACGGTGAGTCCTCAAATCAACACCGTTGGTTCGATTAATCAATGCGCGGTGTTTACTTATAATTTGGGCAGCAAAACTCTCGGAAAATTGTCGACGCCCGTGGGATTGGATTCAAATGGGGAGATTGGAGTGATGAATGGGTGCCTCTCTGCAGTGTACAATGCTCGTCGAGGTGGTTGTCCGATTTATGAGGTTTGGGTAATGAAGGAATATGGAGTGAAAGAATCATGGACTAAGTTTATGAATATAGCGCCACGCATTAGCGATCGTATATCTTCTTCTACGAGGTTGAAATTGGTTGGAGTTACTGATAAAAGCGATCTTATTGTAAGTTGTGCTCCAAATTTTGATCTACTGATATATAATGTTGTAGAAAAGAAATCGAAGATTCTTGTGAACTATGGTAACGGGAGCGCAAAAGTGTATGTTGAGACTCTCGCTTTTCCACGATTTGCTTAACGTTCAATGCAGCAACATTGGGTCGACGAAAGAAATTTATTTATTTAACCATCTCTCTTTTTTTTTGGTCTTTTTTGCACATGAGAAGACATGTTTGATTTGATGGAAAATGTGTTTCTACATTATGGTCCATTTATAAAGAAGTGAAATCCATCGATTTTAATTAATTTCATGTTGTGTGAGAGTACAATTTCGATTTCGACCGTAAATAGCCCAAAGAAGTACAAGTATTTATTGAGTTCTTCAAAATATTATCGATTTTAATTATTAATTCTACAATTTCTCAATTGTGTGAGTTAACCCGTAGAAATTACCGATAATTTCGACTCTCAACTCAAAATAAGTCGACCGAGTTCAGTCACCCGGGATTATTGGTGGCTACATTGTCCTATTATTACATGGTACACTAGTAGAAAAAATGGGGGATGATTTCAGTTTTCGTCCTTATATATATTATACACCAAAACCAATTTTAGTCCATATATTTTTTTCGCCGCCATTTTTGTCCTCAAAGTAACCACTTTTTTCAGTTTTGGTCCACCGTTTGATTTGGGTATTAGTTGGGATGGTTACGTGAGAATGTTGAAATAACTAAATCAACCCTTCTTTAGCTTTAGTTTTCATTTAGCCCCAATTCCCACTTTATTCCAATAATTTAGTCCTATGAAGGAAATTTTATAATTGTATTTTTTCATCCTTTTTGTGATCTCGTCTATGAGGAGAAAAGTAAGCAGAGAGATCTGATTTATGGGAGCAATTTCTGCACAATGTTAGGACCGTGATTTTGAAGTACAAGTATAATAGGTTCGAATTTGGTCCGAATCGGGGGAAAATTTTGTTCTGTTTCAGTTGGAAATCAAAATGTACAATTTTTGTTGTGGTTCGAGAACCAGTTGATGTCCTCGTCGACATGGAGATATAAATCGTCAAATGAGACATCGATATCGAGGTCGTCGCGACATCAAATATAGACACTTTTGCTATTATAATATATGTTTAATTCTATCTTATATATTATTTAACAATTACAAAATAAAGAAATACATACATTTATAAGAATAATGAACTACTACGTTACAAAATTTGGTATAAAATTAGTTTTAGAGTTTCACCACAATAAACTCATACAAATGGGTACCACCAAAAAAAAAAAGAAAAAAGAAAAAAAAAAAAAAAAAAAGTAAGACAAATGGGTACCTTTATAATTTGATATTTTTAATGGAATTTGTAAATTTATGTCTATTTGGGACTAAATTGTTCGAATAAAGTGACAATAGGGCTAAATTGAAAAACATAGCTAAAGAATAGGGGGGTAAAGGAGTTATTTCAGCATTGCTGCAAATCACGTGACTTTTCCGTCCAAACGAACTGCCAAGTCAAACGTCGAACCATATTTACAAAAAAATGTTAGTTTGAGGACTGAAATCGTGGCAAAAGAAATGTAGTGACTAAAGTTGATTTTAGTGTATAGTATAAAGACGGGAAAAATATAGTTTTGGTCCCTCAAGTTTGCGCTAACTTCATATTTGGTCCCTCATGTTCACAAAAAATACATTTGATCCTTCATGTTTCAAAAATTCAACACTTTTAATCATTTTTGTCAATTTTTCATTACTTCTAACGGAAAGCGTGTGCCCGTCACTAAATTAATTAATGAAGTAACAGTAAATTGACGAAAAATACCAAAACTATTAAATTATTTAAACATGAGGGACCAAATGTGTTTTTTGTAAATATGGGGGTCTAATATGAAGTCAGTGTAAACTTGGGGGATGAAAAGTATAATTTTTCCATATAAAGACCAAAACTATAATTATCCCGAATAATGACTTTTTACTACGACCATTAACCGTAGCCAAAATGTACCAAATCCATAATAAAAAGTTTTTGCTATGTATTTGCTACGAATTTGCCCCGTAGCATATACGAGCGTGACAAACACTTTGCTATGGTAAATGGCCGTAGCAAATACTTTTTTACTACGGTAATTCTAACATTTACTACGCCTTCAAGATCGTCTAGTAGTAAAAGTTACCTTTTGTTACAGATTGTGATTTTAAAAAGACAAAAAAGCCCCTCTGAATTGTATGTGCAACACAAATGAGTCTAATTTTGGCCATTTTTGCTGGAAAAAAAAAAAAAAAAATGGTAAAGTGGCACAACTTATTGAGTTCAGGAGGGATTCGAGTTTTTTTTGGTTGAGGTGGTAATCCTAAAAAACAGGCAATGTTGGGTTGTTTAATGGATATAATTACAATTTGGCTGCGGCTATATGCAATACTAATTTCACTTGTGTAAGACCAAATTAAAGAAAGATTCCAAAAGATTTCATTTTATTAAGATGAAATAACAAATATACCCATAAATTAAATTGGCTTTTGTTTGCTCATGCAAGACCAAATAACAAATAATGAAAAAAAAAAAAAGAACACAAAGAAAACGTGAAATTAAAAAAACCCAGCTTGCCCCTCAATCAGACGCGGTTCTACAGATCCCT